GGGCCTTCACTATTATGCGGCGTATTTGCATACTGTATATTTAGTTCGTTATAATAATCATTATTCATACAGAAATAACTAATGACTATTCTGCACATACTTTTGAATGGCTTTCAAATATAACTGCATGGTATCAATGTATTTACTGCTAAAAAACCTATTTGACAACAACAAAAATATGTAAGTGATAAAAGATCGATCCTAAATAACATTTTCTAGTCTCATTTAAGTGATCCTTGAAGCGTATCAAATTTGATTATATTTAAATAAACAATGTTATTTACATTGGAAAACTGCGCGTGAAAGTCAACACATTTCATATTTGTTAAGCGCTGCGAAATCCTGCGTTGGAACAATTTAACAAGGAAAGTGAAATTGTACGCATATTAAACAGAACCGACTAAATTCAGCTGTGAATTGCAAGTACAGATGTCATCAACGGCATGTGTTGACATGTTAAAACGACGGATTTTATGTAAAAACAGTATTTTTTAAACATGCATTTCTAGATGTTAATAAAATTTTGTATGATTTAAATTTCCATTTTATGGCAAACCCACAATATTTGAACAAAGTTGGGAAATTACAAATGACACTGACTAAACGAGGATATTTTAAAAATAATGCTTTTTACCCAATTCATAAGGGCAAATCGATCTGAAATATTTTCAAAATTGCCACACTCTGGTGATGAAAGAAGCAGGTATCAACTAACTTATTTTAAATGGAACTCCCTTTCTACTCTAAATTCTACTCTAAAAAAGAGTAACCGTTTTTGAATTACAAGGGTCGTTTGATTCTCGGTCATTCTTCACGTTTGGAAACAGGAAATAGTCGCAGGGGGCTGAATTTGGAGAATATGATGGGTGGGGTAGCAGTGCGTAGGCTAATTCATGAATTTTTGCCTTGGCGACTACACACGTATACATTGTCCGTGCATTGTGATGAAATGAAACAGCACTTTTTTCTGCCAAATGTGTCCATTTTTGCTTCAAGTCAATATCGAATCTGTCCAAAAGTTCCCTGTCGTGTTACCCTTTTCAAGGTAGTCGATGGGAATGACACCGCGTGCATCTCAAAAAAATGTGGCCATCACCTTGTCGGCAGACAGACCCATTCTGGCCTTCTTTGGTGCACGTTCACCTGCAGAAACCCACTGTCTTGATTGTTCTTTGGTCTCTGGTGTGTTAATTTGAAATGGTCACACGGGAGCGCTTAAGGTCGAGTGGCAGCAATCGACCATCATGCGGATAGCTTTTTCATATCCGAATAGTCATGTA